TCCAAGAAAGCAAAAAAAAAAAAAAAACATTGGATAAATGAAGAGTTACGGCAAATTTTGAGGACAAAGAAGCGTGCATACTTAACTTTCAGCAGGACTTCTATTGCCGCGTCCCTTACTCGGTTACGCGACCTAAGTAAACTCTACAAAAGGAAACTCAAATTAGCTAAAAAGGTTTTTCAGGGCGGTTTAAGTAATCGTCTTAAAAGGAGCCCTAAAGAAATTTGGAAACTGATAAAAAGCAACAAGAAGGACCAGGTTGGCATACCATCGATTGAGGAACTTGAACAGACCATACACGATGACCAAGTAAAAGCTACGTGCTTTAGTAGATACTTCCAATCAGTTTTTTATCCCCTGATAACTGCGGTGCACTTGGCTCTGCCTAACGCAGTAAATCAGTTGCGTGACATGCCGTAAATTGGATTCCACTCTGACGGACTGGTTAATCTTCTCGGGTCACTTAAACCTGATAAGCCTCCAGGTCATGATGGCATTCCTAACAAGATTTTTAAGGAATGTGCAGGTATACTCGCTGTGTTCTTGCACGTCCTGTTTAGCAGATCTCTATCAGATAGTATTTTTCCTTCTGACTGGAAGAAAGCTCATGTTGTACCTGTGCATAAAAGCGGCCCCAAAAACAAAGTTGAAAATTACAGGCCCATATTGTTGCTAAGCACGACTTCTAAACTTATGGAACATGTGATCTACCCAAGTATTGCTCAACATTTACAGTCAAATAATATTTTCACTCCATCCCAGCATGGGTTCCGCCCAGGCTTGTCATGCACAACTCAGCTAGTGGAACTCTATCATGACCTGGCATACGCATACGATAAAGGCCTTCAAACAGATTGTATTTTTCTTGGTTTCCGGAAAGCGTTTGATCTCGTTCCCCATAAATTTATTCTGCATAAAATGAAGTCCTTAAATATAGATGGTAAAGTTCTCGGATGGTTATCAGATTACCTAAGTGGCAGGACTCAAGCAGTGTTAATTAATGGCAAGTCATCTGATTTTATTTCCGTCACTTCTGGTGTACCCCAGGGCTTGGTGTTGGGGCCGCTTTTATTTTTAATATTTATCAATGATATTTTTGTAGACGTTTTTTCTAGTATACGCCTGTGTGCTGACGATTGTATAATTTATCAAGCAGTAAGTTCTTTCAATGATTGTATCACTCTGCAGGCCGACCTTGACCGCATAGCAAACTGGTGTAGCACTTGGGGAATGGATTTGAACGTTAACAAATGTCACTTTGTCCGTGTAACTAAAAAGCGTAACCCTATCACCAACATGTACCAGATTAACGACATCCCCATCAACACGTCACTACAAGTAAAATATTTAGGCGTTTACGTTTCCCATGATTTGTCATGCCGCTTTCACATTGAGTATATGTCTGCTAAAGCTAATCGGATGATAGGCTTCATCAAACGTAATTTCAAAAATTCTCCTCAAGAGGTCAAAAACACTCTGTATCTCACAAATATTCGGCCCATTCTAGAGTACGCTTCAGAAGTTTGGGATCCCCACCAGCAGTACCTGATAAATAATATAGAACTGATACAAAACAGAGCCGCTAGATTTGTCCTTAATACATACTCGCGTGGTCAAAGTGTAACTGCCATGAAACCTGCACTTAACTGGCAGCCTCTACTGAATCGTCGTAAATGCTTCCGCCTGAAACTCCTTCACAGCTTATATTACGATCAGTGTGGAATCGACAAAACGCAATATTTACTTCCACCTCACTTCATCTCTCGGCGCCTGGATCACAGCAGAAAAATGAGGTCTTTTACCAGCAAAACAGACATTTACAAATACTCATTTTTTCCTTCTACAATACTCAACTGGAACCAGTTACCTGAAGAGATTGTCTCAACAAACGTAAGCTCTCAATTTTATGACGCATTGTCAGATTCTTAAAACTTGTTATTCCTACAAACTTCAGTTTTGTCTGTATATATTCACGAGTGCAGTGTCTAGCTTTACGCTGGTTTGGGTTTTCGTTTGTTTTTATTTTCATGTTAATTGCTCTGGGTAAGTCACCTTTTGAGTTTTGACTGTTTAAGCAATTATGTGTTCTTTGGCGTCATGTTTATTTTATATTTGCCCCTCCCCCACTATAATGCCCTCACGTGCACTGTGGGGTTAGTTCAATAAATAAATAAATAAATAGTAAAAAATAGTGTTTAAAGGGGCCCTGCAATGACTTTTTTACTAATTTTTAATTTGCACCGAACCTGAGCGCACTGAACGTAGTAACTTAGTGAAGCTTTTCTCTTCTCGAAATTCCCTTTATTTTAAAAGTTATAGGCAAATTAAAATTACAAAAACAAGCAAAAAATATCCTCCCTCATGACGTCCTTGGTTGCTTGAGAGTGGCCGTGAACTAGAGGAGAAGTAGTGAGCTCATTGAGCGCTTACGGCTGCCGCACTCCGTGTCGACGGCGCGAGAGGGCGCCATTGAAGCGTGTTCTGGATAGGCTGTATGCAGCGGGCAGCCAGAGCGGCTCTCATTGCATTTGCTGCGCGATTAAATACTAATTCGGCATGACACTTCATTGGCCACAAACGACAGCAAACACGGGGTATAGATCAGTTCAGAACGAAAGCCACTTCGCGCTGCCATACCGCCAAAGGGCTAAATCGCCAGCCAAGCCCGCGCCGAGAGCCTTGGAAACGCTTGGAACCGGTCGGATCCTCGAGCCGGTATACGACCGCAGCGCCGCCGCGTACATCCGGGACCTTTCCGTGTCGGCGCCTGATCCCACTATTCCTTTCTAGTATGCGCCGCTTTTTCCACCGCTTGGCGGCGGGTATATGGGCGTGTCATTTCTTGTTTCCGTACTTTATGAACTGCATTCGTTTCTTTTTTGATCTAAGATACTGAACAAAAACTACTTTTATAAGTAATTGAAACGGTGCGGCGCCACTTATATATTGTATTTCGACTAAAAAGAAGCTTTGAGCGGCTCTGACCAGTAGTAAGCCCAGGACCAAAGACGTCACATTTTGCGCGCTTTCGGTACCGCGGGTCGCCCTCGTCGGTGGAGGAGGTTTCCGCGTCATCCGGTTAAAATATGACGCACTGATATTTAGTTACTCTCTCCGTGCCCATTGGCATGCCTGAACCCCAAGAGACGTGGAAACCGCAAAAAAGGTGGACGCTTAAATATGATTGCAGGGCCCCTTTAAGCTCCGCATTGTTTTAGACAAGCAGTTGAAAGGAACAAGGCTGTCTCCAATGGGACTTCAGTAGAAAGCACCAAACGCAATATGTTTTGAAACATAACCTTTGCACCAGACGGTCTCGCATTCATTATCCCATTAATCAACTGGTGCGCTTGGAAACCTTTCATCAACGAGAAGAAAAACGCTCTGTGTTGTTCGTTTCGTTTACTTGTCCGTTGCATTTAGCGCTTTTACCTTTGGAAATATGGATCACAAACTAGCCCGAGTGCATGCCCAGCTCCTAAAGAAAAACACCTCCACCCTGCGTGTCACGGTCATTCCTGTAAACTTGAAATCCAGAAGGAAAAACTTTGGCGTTGCTGATGCTGTCATCCAGCAAAGATTCAGTGCATATAATAATGCGTGCTAGCACTGAGATAATAAGCCAGAAAGTAAATTTCCCTTGTTTTTAATGCTTGTCTTGAATTACTATATAGTTATCTTCTTGACTGAACGGCCACATCAGTGGCAGCATCATAGATATGAAGGGATCCCCCAAGCAAAAGTTTATACGGTGCCTCATATTGCTTCGCAGATTTAAGCCGTTTCCTTGGAGCATGACGAATCGGGACAAAAACATTTTCCCGCACTGCAAACTCTGTATCCTTTAGCTTAATTTCCGAAGAAAGAATGGCTTCTTCATCTTTCAAGGGGAAAACTTTACAACAATAGATCGGTTCTTGTTGACCTGATACCGAGCAATTCTGTGTGCACTTTCAATGTCGGGTTTATCATTTGTTACGTCCGATGTGTTTGCACACATTGACACCACAGACTCCTCTGATTGATTCCATGTTTTAGTTTGGTTATCTGGTAAACCGAAGATGAGAAGGTTATTTCTACGCAGTCTGTTTTCTGCGTCATCCACAGCTGCCCTCAAAGAAGCCATATTTTGTGATATGCTGTCTAAGGTTTCGGATGGAACTGGTCTGCTTTGTGCGAGGCACGTAACCCGCTCGTAAAGCCGTGACGTCTTAGTATCAACACTAACCTGCCATTACCACATAGCTTATGATGACGACAAGAATTGCAATTGCCCTTGCTCGATATGTCTTACTGTCTCACGTATGCTCAATACGTCTTACCGTCACTAGCCGCAATCGTCACAAATATTATTGAAAGCTTAGTTTCTTTTTCTCTTTACTGACCTATGACCAAACTTCGAGCATTTGAAACACTTATATATTTCCACTAACTGAAACACAGTTTCGTTCCCGTTGCTGGGGATTAGGAAGCTATTGGCGAAAGGGTAAATAAATTTTATAGCCATTATAATCAAGGCTCTGGCTTGAGAGATTTTCTCGAACAAACAATTTAATTGTAAATTTGAAACTTTTATAAACTTCCCCCCGCAGTTTGCATCCTCGAGCGTGGTGACGTAGTCATGTTTCTCCACGTATGCTCTAAAGCTATGAATATTATAGCTCAAAGGTGGAAGATTTGAAACGTTGATTGAAGTTGTAAACAATGTAAAGTGAACTGCCGCAGATTCCTTTTTGTGAAATATAAGATTTTCAATTAATTATACCCTATTATAATAAGGAATGTAGTAAAAATGTCTCAAATATAAAAACGTACTCTTAAGGTTTTTCTTGCATATAGTATTTTGTCCCTTTACACTCGCTAACGCATTAATAATATTAATGCATGTTTATTCAAGCAGTAAACTATTAGATGATGAGCCGGTTAACATTTCTAAATTTATATATTTCTTTATTAGTTATCTGACGCGATCTAGTTCTATATACTCGTATAGTGCTTACGGTTGGCATGGCAGAAAAGGCACCGGTCCAATGATCATAAACGACAATACCGTGAGGAGCACAGCGGCAAAACTGAAAAATAATTCCATCTGAAAAAGATTTGAGTGATATACTGGGTTAAAGGTAGCAATTAATCCTTCAAGTCTTTTTTTTTTCTTTTTAATTGCCTCGTGTATCGTTCTCAAATAGTTTGTAAACAAATATTACTGTTTTTATAAATAACGCAATGATACAAAATAGCTTCTTCAGAGTTAGCTCGTATAAGCATCAAGCGCACTCAAAAATATGCGAACAATGTACGTTGTCAGAATCAGCGATGACGAGTGGTAACCGTTAGAGATGTCCATGAAGACCTCTACAATTACACTGTCGGTGTGCTTTATGCATTTAGCAACTTTTTTTGGTCCATTTTTTCCAGTAGATGTGTTCCAATAAGTAACAGTATGAGACTTGAAGGTGCTAATTGTCCTTAAATTAAGCTAAAGCTCAGTTTTACATGAAAATATATACATAGAAACACGGAGTTGCTATTTCAACTAATGCTACATCAATGCAAGGTATTCGCTTCCAGAATGGCTCTGACTACATGGCTCTTTCAAATATGAGCTATTCAGACACCGGTTTGTCTTTATATGTTTTTTCTACTGCAAAACGACTTAAATATAAAAAAGACACGTCACTTTCCTTTTTTTTAAATCACTAATAATTCCCGGTTTTCCCTCAGTTCTTTTTTTTATGCACGGGATCTCTCTTGTTTCCCGTAACTATCCGTTTGTATTCGCTTTCCAGTGAGCATTAATGAAAAAAATCACATAATAAAATTCTCAAGAAAACTGGTTACCTGAAGTTGGCAAAACATTCCCGAGACCAATGAACCGACTGCGTAGCTGGCGTACTGCACCATGAAGCAAACGCCGACGTCCGTGTTGCTGAGGCCAAACTAGAGGGTTTAAACATTTTTGTGCGAATTCGTATCTACCAGAAACTCTTGAACGAAATTATGCAATGCAAAAGGTGTACACAATGGTAAACCCGATATACGTCATCCCTCTGGAGTATAAGAGGGCAACTCCGCTCAATTCCGAACATTTCGGTTTAATGAGTAATTTCGCATTAAAAAACCCTAGTAAAAGACACTGCGTTCTTTGCATCGCGAAAAATTGGATATATATTTTTAAGTCTAATTTTAAAAACGTGCAAAAATCTGAACCGAAACTTCGGTTTCGTCCGGCAAAACAAATGGCATCGAGCCGCGAAGTACATGGCTTTCAGGTGGTACAAGATGTCACGTGATCCTTTACGCAACGACAGGCGGTATTGCGGCAGGCGTGTCCAATCGCAGATGTCGTCTCCACCGCACTCTTCACCACGTTGTGGTGTCTACGACATTTGAAGATCTCTGCACAACTGCGACATGCTATTCGCCGAATTCATTCACGCGAGGAGCGGACTTCGGATGCCGTGCAGGAAAGCCGGCGCTACGAGGATGAACGTGCAACTCTGGCTCCCGAAGGGAGTCTATTGACCGCTTCACTGAAAGAGAGCGAGAGAGAAAAGGGAAAAGGGCTACCGGCGCTTTCCCCCTTGCTAATGCGTTAAAAGGAGTGAAAGTCCCGGATGAGAAGCTTCGCCGGTGTTGGGTGTACGCATTGCCCGAACTTCGTTGGTGCTTTCTTCTCTGTTTCGAACTCCGTAACTTAAATAGAGCCACGGGGTTCGAGGGCGACAGTCTGCTGGTCAAAGGAACACGATTGCTCGGTTATGGGATGAACGAATAACGCCAAATGCCATACTCTCGACTGTGCTTGGAACATTTTGTGAATGTAGCGCGCACCGAACGCTGTGCGTCGATGAACATGGGGTGAGCTCGCAAGATGCATGCAAATTTTAACGGGATAATTCCTGTTTCAGCTTGTAACTTTTTGTAACTGAATTTATCTTCATATTGATATATTTAAGTGGTAACACTGACTCGATTTTATCATTTACAACACTTCGTTGAAGGCTCATTTCCGCCACCGGTTGTGACATGCAAATTGTACAGACACATCCGGTGACTGGACAATAGACTACTTCCATAAAGCCCTGCATGCAACACGGCGCGCGTTGCACTCTGGGAACTAGTTGGCCAGGGAGGAGGGTGGCATGGTTTCGGTTTCGATCGACACGTCGACAAGATATTATTTTCTGGACCCGAGAGCGTCATTTGTGGTCTCTAAACTAACCTAAATGGTCATACCTCGAAGCTTTAGCACAATCCCGAGACGTATAGCTTGCCTTAACACATGTTTGTTGTATTTTTGTAATTGAGCCTTCCTGTTAGCGTTCCAATCGAGGTATGTGGACGAGCCAGTGCTGGGATTCTCGACGCTGCGAAGCTCGGGTGCTCGGGGATCTTGCTTGTGTACGAATCAACAAGCTGTAGCAACCAATAAGTATGCCTACATCGAGCTCGCGCCTTTACATTAGTGTTTTTAATCAGGAAGTTTGCTTCGTGCGTCCATAGACGAAATATTACTTTTTGCAATTACTGTTTTTCTTAATGTGCCTGAGTATGCGAGGTAAAACTCGGAGGTGCCAGTGAAAAGCTCAATTTTAACACACTTATCTCTTATCTGTACTGACCCGCAGCACTGCACGAAGTGAAATCCCCACCCGCTTGCATTCCATTAATATTCAACATCGCGTATGCGCATAAAGTTATCCTGCAATCATAGGCGAATTCGCGCATACAGGCCGTTTTAAGAATGCAAAAGTCGAGCACTTGTGTGAAGAATGTCGCACCGTTCGCCGGCAGTGCGTCATACGGGCATGAACCCCTATGCGCACCGCATTGGGGTTCATGCATGCCCGTCCGGCGCACGGTGCGACATTCCCCAGACAAGTGCTCGAACGAATTCAAAGCGCATTTCACGGCTGCTAATGGCCATAATATTTGTTATGTAATTGCTTTCTTCCTGCCTGAGTATGCCGAGATAATTTCAGACACACCGTTCCCGGCAGAGATCTCGGGCGTCAGTAAAAGCTCGTCCAAAAAGGCTTAGCGAGGAGTAGGGGACACTTGTGGCCTCCGTCGTAGCTAGCCGATCTCAGCGTTTGCGAAAAGTTAATCTTCTATCAGCATAAAATTTTAGTGGGAGATATATGATGACACGAGGAAGACATCATAGTAACGTTTGTGCAGTAGTGAGGTCGAATTTATTGCGTTTTCTTAAAAGTTCATGCGCAAACGCTGGCCTCAACTTTGATACCCTGTGAGGATGCGGCTTGCTTTTCGCCCAATGAAGTAACGAGAAGCGGACGTTTGGCAAACAAAATGCGCGTAAGGCTCCAGACGAACAAATTTCAGTTGTAGTTCACTGGTACTAAACGGGATTACTGACATTGAGCTCAAAGATGCACTCGTGGGGTGAGGTGACTAGGCCACGACTTACTACGTTCGCATACGCACGCACAATATCCGGTGTTTCGGGAACCAAGGAAAGTGCCCCGGTCTTCGTTTTGTATCGCTCGAGAATGAGTGTATTGTACGTTCGTGAAAAGTCAGATAAGCGAAAACGCAAGCAGCGCGTTCGGTCGCGGCGTGATAGCATGAGATGAAGCTGCTCAGTCGAAACCGAAACTGAGTGGCCAACTAGTTCCCAGAGTGCACTGCGTGCTATTTCACCGCGATGGGGCGCGTCGGTTTTGGAAGAAGTCCATTCTCTGTGTACAGCATCTAAAATAACAAAAGGCCAATTGTCGTTTTAGATGCAGTACATCAAGATGTTTTTGGCGTTTCGTGCCGTCCACAACAATAAGATATAATGTGAACAAGAACACGCGAAATAAGACTATTGCAAGGAACGATCCAAGGCAGCTCACTCCCGCTTGAAGGTGTTTATAAATGTTTTATTTACACATCCCGTGTCGACGAGTGTGTATTTTGTCGAGTTCTCGAAACAGCAATGTTAAGATGGGTCTATTGTTTATTATGTAATTCAATGCAAAGGTGCAAGCGAGCTGGACAAGAATGATGAAAATAATCCCTGAAGAAGGAGAACAAGGGGGACAAAGAACAAACACAAATCTCCAAACACAGCTAGGTGACTGGTGCGCGACCGAAAAACTCCACTGAAAATAGAGAGGTCCCTGGTTCGATACCAGGACCAGGCGGATTTTTTCGATCGCGCACCAGCCATTTAGCTGAGTTTGGAGGTTTATATTTGTCCTTTGTCCCCCCCTTCTCCAGGTATTATTTTTGTCATGGGTCTACTGCAGGAACGAGTCGATCAATGATTCAACAATTCGAAAATGATGCACAAGCATGCTTCAACTTTCAGCAACAAAAATTGTAGGTTACTTTCCAGCTACATTATGTACTAATTTTCAAAAGAAGAAGAGTCTAGTCGCGTCGTGATGGTCAACATATGTTTAGGGCTCTCTGGTGTCGCGCAGGAGCTAGTGATTCGTAAAAACTGATAGAACTATTACTTTTTGACAATTTTCATCCACATCCGACGGCGGAAATGAGCCTTCAATTAAGTGTTGTAGACGATAAATTTGAGTCAGTATCACCACTTTAAGATATCAATATTAAGATGAACTCAGTTACAAAAAATTATAAGTTGAAACTGCAATAATCCCGAGAAAATTTGCACGCACCATGCGAGCGCAGCCCATGTTCATCGACGGTGCAGCATTAAGTTCTGTGCGCGCTTCATTCACAAGCTGTTCCGAGCAGAGTCGAGAAGATGGCGTTGGGGAAAATTCTTTTCGGTTCACGGACGCAACCCACTGCCGCCGTGATTGGGGTCATGTGAAAAGCGATGAAACTTAAATGCATTGTAGCCACACTTGCCGGATTCCGTGCAAGCTACTTATAGATCCTCAGACAGTATTCGGCGCTTTCTGTCGTTATTTGTGCACCCCATAACCGAGCAAGGGTGTTCCGATGACCGCTGGATTATCGCCATTCAAGCCCTTCGCTCTAAGTAAGTTTGGGAGTTTAAAACAGAAAAGAAAGCGTGAACGAAGTTTGGGCAATGCATACACACAACACTGGCGAAGCCTCTCATCCGGGACTTTTATACTTTCTAACGCACCAGCAAGGGGGAAAGCGCCGGTAGCCCTTTCCCCTCTGCTCTCTCGCTCTCAAAATGGCGCTACCCACAATAAAACGGTCTTTACACACAGGAACTCTAGGCCAGAAGGCTCCCAAGAAGCGCGCTGCGCAGGCGCGTTACGCCAATCACGTGGACACCGCTGAGCGTCGAGAAGAAACGTTGCTGACGCCACCCGCTACGCTTGCCCGGAGAAGTAAAAAAAACGAAAACGGGAAATGATGATGACGTTTAGCTCAGTGTTCGCTTCGCCCACGCCGTAGCTTTGATGCGCTGTTGGTTGCACGTCGATTCGCCTGCTCGAGTCAGCCGATTTTGGCGAAGTTGGCGAGTTGCAAAGTTTGCCGAACCTTTTTAAGAAACATTTAGACAGAACTACGTCGTAATATTTGACGTGTGGTCTTTCTAGGTGGTACTGAAGAAGATTGCATTGTTTTTCTCAAGAACAAATATGGAGCGAGTATGTCTTTAAGTATGTAGAAGCAGACGTAGATCATTGCGTTCTAATAAAAAGTATTTGCTTCTATCTTTAGTGAGAGCTATTTTTAACCACAGGTAAAAGGTCGGGAAAGGGGGGGGGGGGGGGGGAACGGAGTCAACTACAGTGTAAATGTGTCAACGTTTTGAGTTAGGTGAGAACGACATTATCTAAACGCAGATGAAGTGCTAGCAGCCCGTTTACTTGCCGACTTACTTACACACAATATTTTATGGTATGTCGCCGTGTTTCGATCTATCGATTAAACCATAATTTCCATAATCGCGTTTTATGACTAGCGCAGCCGACGCTCAAGTTCAATATTCGTTTTCCTCGTAGTCGCCTGGTCTTTTTTTTTTTTTTAAGTGATAGCTGTTAGGGAATTTTTCCACCACTAGAAAGGACGTTCCTTGTTGAAGTTGTAGTTGGCGTAGGGGGAGGGGGTGGGGGAGCTGTCATCGTCGATGTTGCCGAATCCTTGAAAAAGATCGCCCGCCGAAATCGAACCTGCGTCTGCCGCGTGCGAAGCGGAGGCGCTGCCACAGAGCTACGCTAAAGTCACTGGATCCTGGGAAAGTAGCGCCATTGCCTTCCCTACCTGCTAGCCGGACACAGATACTAACATACAGACGATTCAAACCTCGCAAGGCGATTGGCTAATTGGTCTAGGTTGCCATGGAAATCGACATCTTGGTCCATTTAAATCTTCGCAGCTTCCAGGGGGTCATTCTAAACCAGTCGCGCCAAGATCACCATGGAGCATCATCGTACTGGAAGCGTTCCTCGCCAATATAACCGTCTTCGGCACTTTGTATGCGATCTACTTATTAATCATGCAAGACAGTAAACTTATTTTTCAGTGCCTCCAAGCACCGACACAGCATCTGGTGGTATTACGAAAGTGTACGCTTGTTTTGCCGGTGTGTGGTTAGCAAAATCTTGGTATACAAAAAATGACTCCATAAAGCTACCAGTCACCAGCGCATCTAGATCGGCTCACCAAGAACGGAGGGGTCAAGGAGAAATTGCTCATTTCATGGACCAAGATGGCGACCACACGGGGAGCTTGGCTTTACTTTCCCATGATCCAGTGACTTTAAGCTACGCGACAGAGTTAACGACTCGCTCTATACTTAGGGTTTTTCTAGTACCCGATGCCCACTGCACGCGCTCTTTAAGAGGCGGTTGGTAACAAAATGCTGTTTGCACCGTCAAAATGCACCGTCAATGACAAAAGGTCGTGCAGGGAGACATGCTTTCACCCGCTCCGGAAAATAAAAGAACAACAAATGCGTTCGGAACAAAATTATTGGATGTCTGTTTTGTTACGAAGGGTTTTGTTCACGCACCCCATGGGGTGCCTGAACTCAACGCCGATTCTGAACGACTTTGCCGTGACATGACACAGCTATCGCTGTGACTGTAACGTAAATTAACGAAGGACTGCTCTATTTTTTTTTTAAGTTTAATTCTTGCGACGACACTTCAAATGGTCGGACTGAGGCGAGAGAGCGTCGTGGGGTGGGGGCGGGGGGGTGGGGGGGGGGGGCGGGGGGGGGGGGTGGCTCATAACGTGACGTCAGCGTGCGATGCCTGCGAAAACGAGCAGTTGATTCACGCAGTTGGTTCGCACAGTCGGTTAGCGTGCTTGGTTCGCGCAGTTGTTTCACTAAAAGCTTATGTCACTTAGGGCGTGGCTTATATGCTCGCGGTTCTTGCTTCGTGATTGGTTCCTCTGTGTTCCTATAAGGTCATGCTGCTTTCTCATTCGCTACGGTGCGATCATACGTTGCCCTGCGTTTTTTAAGTTGTGAGAGACTATTGCTTCCACCATGCTAGGCCACACTGCGCAACGAACGTTCGCGAAATCTGGGTTGGTTTTGGTAAGGAGGCAATTCAACATTAATGAACAGTGAAAAGAAAAAGAAATACGGGAAAGTAGGACACCGATGAAAGACATACCTGCACGAGATAGGGCCCCAACGTTGGGTCGTTGAATCCCATGATTGCCGACGAAAGCACCACGGAAAGAATGTTCAGCATAAAAATGGGGTCCCGAAGCAATCGCCCGAAGGGCACGTTCGCCGCAGCAGGCTGCTGGACGTCGGACGCACGCGGCGTAACTGAAAATCAAAACAAGTCATTTTGTGAGTCGGAATTCCGAGGTTTCCACCGCCTAATGACGACCATTGCACGTATGTTCATTGCCTCGGAAAGGCACACTCACCGTAAGATTTAAATTGACTCGAGGAGTTTGTTAGTTTTCAATGGGAAGGAACGTATGGTAATTAGCGCCCTGCATATTGGTTCTGACTGCGCGTTCCGTAAGAAAACATTATTGGATGTGCGTGTGTGATGTACGAATACACTCCGCACTTAACCTGTCACAGAGTTCTCAGTTTATTTATCTAGCACTGACAATTTTCGTCAGATTTAATTATTAGTAGCAACTTGACTTTTAATTAATAAAATAACAATTGCATTGTTATTTTTTATTATGTAATTAATCGATTTTCTAGCCCATAAGCGCACCGCGTCGAGCGTACGCGACGAGAATATACTAGTACTTTAGCAGTCATATCAATACAACACCTAGTAAATATTAAACAAAATTAGTTAAAGCAGTAGATTGCACGGGAAAGTATGAAAATAATGTTCAGTATTCGTAACAGTAGAAAAAGAAGATACTAGAGAACATCAGTAAATAAAAAAGACAAAAATAAAGGTACCTTACATATATGCCCAGTCATGAGAGGGGCGCATTAAAAAAATATCAATCAACAACAGAATTCGCGATGGATGGATAGATGGATGGATGAATGCGGCTGAGCCCTTCGGATCGGGCGGTAGCTTATGCCACCTAGCCATTTTGTTTTACCATTTAAGCTTAGAATATTTGAATGTGAAATCTATATTCACTCCGCTCTGCAAAGAAAGTGGGGCTATAAAACCCCCTTGCCATCAGTTAATAAGAAAATACCTAGTTTTCCCTCGCTTTCTGCCACCATTCACTTAATCTTTGCTTGGTAATCTCTACAGTCTTGAAATCCACACTCCCTTCGCTGTCTCTAAAACCCAATGACTTTATTAAATCTATGTTGTCTTCGGTAGGTATAGGGTGAAGCCCTTTACTGTAGATTATCAAGTGCTCAGCCGTCTCGTCCTCCTCTCCACAAGCAGTGCACACTGTATCCATTTCCTGGTACCTCGCTCTGTATGTTCTGGTTCAAAGAACACCCGTCCTCGCCTCAAACAACAATGAGCTTCCCCTAGAATTGTCATAAATGCTTTCTTTGGCAATAACTGTTTTGTTTAATCTATAACTTTCCAGAGCCGTCTTTGTCTGCATTCCGTCTAGCCATCGATCTCTTTCTGTGGCCTTAACTTTCTTCTTAACTGAGACCTGCTCTTGCGTATCTCCACTATAGCCTAAAAACTTTCCTCTTAATTTCCTAGTGCGCTGTCTCCACTTTGTGTCTATGCTCCTCATGTATAAATAGCTGAAAACCTTTCGTGCCCATTGGTCCCCCTCCATTTGCCTCAACCGATCCTCAAATTCTATCTTGCTCACCGCTTCTCTGCTCTCAAAAGACGCCCATCCCATGTCTCCTTGTACTCCCTGGTTTGGCGTTTTGCAATGTGCCCCTAAAGCCAGCCTACCTACTCCGCGCTGTTTTATTTCTAGTCTTGCATGCACTTCGGATTTCATGCATAGCACTGCGTTTCCAAAAGTCAAGCCAGGGACCATGACTCCTTTCAAAATCTCTCTCACCACCTCATACCTCTTGTAATTCCAAAGAGCTCTATTTTTCATTACAGCTGCATTTCTGTTGGCCTTACCTATTATATACTTTTCATGCTCACTGAGATATTCTGCACCGTCACATATCCATACTCCTAGATACGTGTATTTACTAGCTCTCTCAACTGTAATATTCTGTATTTTCAGCCTCTCAACTTCATCATTGTTAAAAATCATGACTGCTGATTTTTCACTACTGAATTCTAAACCTAATTCCTCTCCTTCCTTACCACAGATTCTCATTAATTCCTGCAACTCTGTCCTGTTGTTAGCCATTAGTACAATATCAGCCGCATACATCAATCCCGGTAAGGATAGCTGAATTTTTTGGCCTAGCTTACTGTACGAAAGGTCGAATCCAAGCCCACTCTTCTCTAGTCTATCCTCCAATCCTCTCAGATACAACATAAACAGCAAAGGCGATAACGGGCACCCCTGCCTAAGGCCTCGTCTTATCTCTATTTTCCCCGTCGCCTTTCCTTCCCATGTTATAATCACCTTATTATCTTTGTAAATGTTTCTTAATAGGGCTGTTAGTCCTTCATCTAGGTTTAAGATCTCCACTATGTCCCACAGGTTCCTTTGGTTCACATTGTCATAGGCACCCTTGATAGGCGACTCCAGCAAAAGGGACACCACCAAGCGGGAAAACCGGGAACCAGCCTTAACAGGTCGCTTTGCGCCTCTCCGCGTCTCTGGCGGCTTTCGCGGACACGTGTTATCGGCGCGGTGGCGAACAATGTAATTTGACGAAGGTCCGAATATTTCTTAAGTTTGCCTGAGTGTTCATTAGTGTGGTGAAGCCTCAGTAGAATGTTTTTTTTTTTTCATCACGTGTTTGAAAGCCCGTTTACTCCACAACACACGGTCGCGTGCTTTCGATTTCTTGGATGGGGATGAATCACGGTAAAACGTTTTGATTTATTGTCTGTTCTAAATCGCATTCAAAGTGACGACTACTTAGTAACTGATAAGCGTTTTTTTTTTTTTTATAAGGATGTCGAACAGTGGACTGAGGAAAACAGACGAGGTGTTTCCCTGGAGGGACACCAATGTTGTTATCAAGTGAATGGGAAGGTCCGATAACTGCTTTTCTTGAGTTTGGTTGTGTTCGATTAGCTTCAAGATTGAGCCACTCACGCCGGTCGGTGCGTTGGCTATTCATCTTGGCTGCTTTTTCTCCAAAAGCATCTGGACCACACCGAAGGCGTTGGGCTGATTTTATAATTACTTGATTTCGGAAAACATGCTCCCTGCGTGCGTACGATTAATGAGGGAAATTTTCTGCTTTCAAAAGGTGGGGGACGCGTCTCGCAAAGTTAGAAGCTGTCACAACATTATGACTTATCGCGCCTCCAATATTTATATCATACCCCCGTCGAAGCCAGCAGCAATATACGTCTACATTGCTCAGGTTGTCCGGCCACAAATATTACTCATTTTCTTCGTTGGATTCGAAGACAAGTTCAATACAGAGAGGCTCTGCGTGAATCTCCGATCAAGACTCTCTTCAGTTTGTCCGCATTCGTCGTCGTGCTGCGGGCTAGAACCATTTGGCTGAGTTTAAGTTGTATCTCTTTGTCTGTCAAATATGCTTTTATTCAGCAGTTCCTTCACGTAATAGCTAGTCAACTAAGCTCATATTTCAACCCGAAGAATATACTAATATCGCTTTAGTGGGACCATTGTACTTAATATAATACATAATCCGCATATTCGTCAAAATTACTTCTCGATTCCTACTAAAACCTCAATTGAAATACGAGTATCAACTGCTTAGTGGGAAGAGAGTTAACATGCTCCTTGGCTCAAGAAGCGCTTGCTTAATTTTCGTAATTTTCCTGCAACCTGTGTTCTCGACCGAGCAGACGATTGGAGCTGTTTCTTAAGCGCGGGTATACGCACAGAAGCTCGATTTCGCGGACAGATAAGTCGCATGGTCAAGGCATGCGAGTTAGCTGAAGATTACTCTCGGTGAAACAATACTGTAGTCATCGCGGATTCCCTTAGCTGATCAAAACTGATTCGAGTCTATTACCGTCTCTCGGAAGCCCATAGTTTCCGTTTTGAACGAAATCTCCGAAACAAAGGTTTGACATAAAAAGAACAAAAAGCACCGGGAAAACAAGACTGTGCTCTGCAAGTTTATGTGCTCCAGATACACTTAACCCATCGCAGTTCAAATACCTATAAAATAGGGCATTAAAAAAAGAAAATCTGTTAAATTGAATGTGCCACCCGTTCGGGCGGTCCGGCTGAGCGGACGACGCTATGGTGTACTAGAACTATTCTAGTACACCATAACAACGGTACCTGTTCCCAGCCTCCATGTTTGTTCGGCGGTGGCGCCCCCTATAGGTCGCTGGATTCGCAAATAGGCCATAGATGTTCGGCGTTTTCCTTATAAAAAAGAAAACGGTGGGAGTTTTCAGGTTTTATTATTTGTTCTATATATATCGTTCTATTTCGGGGTGTTGATTCCGACAAACGATCAAAATGGTGATTATCGCTGAAAAATTCTCCAATGAAAAACTGCATGTTCAAGCCTAAGACGGCAGAGCTTTAACATAAGCGGTCATAGCTGGAGGAAAAACTCTCAGAAATCTGTGTTCTACGGTTTTAGCAAATATTTTATTTTTTACACCAACAAATGTATATCGTTCTTTTTTTTTTCTTTTTTTTTTTGTCTTAGCTGATTTTGTATTTTTTTGACACGGACGGATCTGTTTATTCGGTTAAAATCGGAAAATCTACGGCCTAGATACACTCTAAGCTTAACTTGGCCACAAGCGCACGTTACGGGCCCCTATAGCCAAGCAGAGTGGCGAGCGAAACATGTTACCGCTTTCAGCGGGAGAAGTTTACCCCAAGGAGCGTTGTCACGTGTCGTGCTTTAACGCTCTGATTAAATCGTTGGCTTTGTAGCGTACGCAATTTGCCAAATAATGCTAATACAAGGCATAGTAGTACTAAGTTAGTGCAGTAAAGTTTCAGTAAAACGTACACGGCAGATTTTTATATTGCTGTTAGAATTATCATAGGGTTTTCATAATGAAGTAAAAAGGTAAATACCTGCAACAGTATCTGCAATAAAGGTAGCCTATATGGTTATCATAAAATTTATATTGCTTAATGTATAGTATTACCATTCCTTTGGCCCTCGGGAGTCACTCCGTTAACAGCAAAGAACGGGAAGAACACAGATTGGGCCACGCCCACCACAAAGAAGGGCAGCGGGAAAGCCCAGAGCTGCGATAAAAATATGCACAGCAATGGTAAAAAAAAAAAAAAAAAAAAAAACTTCATACTAACAACACAGCAATATTATTTCCATTCTCCTCACAAAGCATAACAATATACAACAGAGAAAAAAAAAAGGCGAAGTGGAGCAATCTTTTTTTCATGTGCGGCAACAGCGAGTAACCTTTCAGAATTAGATAAGAAGAATGGCAACTGAATATTTGTCCCATCTGTAATCCTGATGTATAAAATAGAGACACGCACAACAGGCTGGTCTGCGAGGTCTGACAATTAATGATCAGTGTGAAATACTTGCTGTAACTGTATGTCTTCCCTACCTCTTTTGTTCCGGGATTAAATACGCAGCGCTTTTAAGCGAATTTTATCTCGCATTAAGTTGCTTTAGCGTTTCTGAAAGAGGCCTAACCGGACATCAGCTCATTTATTGATGGATTAAAATCTCTTTCCATTAGGTTGTCAAAATTTATATGTTCCTTGATTATGCAGAATGGTTTACAATCATATTGCTTATAGGGAAATTCTAGCTTTTTAACCACACAGGCAATTGAATTTATTATCGATATGAAGAACGCAGTTGCGTCAATAATTTAAGCGTGCAGACATATTTTCTCGAAACTGCAAATGAATTAAATATTTAGTTAAGATTGGATGAGTTTGCATTTCTAACAAAGCAAGTTTTGTTTTTTGGAAGTTGGATATTATGCGAATTTTTGACTATCTATTTTATGCACTCTTTTTGAACATGTAGTCGATTTAATACATTTAATTGCGAAAAAATAAATGGCTAAAACATTGTGATTGGATTGTTCACGATCACAAATATAGTATGTTAACATCCTTGCACTCGTAACTGTAAGGCGATGCAGCTAAATGCGTCATCAGTCAGTGTGCACGCAGTGTCGCTATTGTACGCTAAAGTGAAGGGAAATTAAATCCCGTCCCTAAAACATATACAAAATATAGCACTTAGCCATATTAATGCTCCTGCAAAGCTTGCCGAATCTTACATCACTTTTGTATGAACACCTCTTTTTAATTGAGATCCCTTATAAACAAGAAGCAATTAAGCATTAGCCACAAATGGCATCATAAATTGCAAATACATCTATAACATAGATTGTACTTATGTTTGTTAGGGTGCACAAATCATAATTACACAGGTAAAATTATGTATCCAGTTATGGCTACTGTAACCCTTTTTATCCTTAACATCTACAGAGCATAGCAATTCTATTAATGAACGAAAATGTTTGTCTACTTACATCAACTAATAGGCCTGAGATGACAGAGCCTGTCATGACTCCAAGTCCAAACATACATTCCATTGTAGCCTAATATAGACACATGAGAAGCAAAATTCATATTACTAGCTATACTTCACACGTCAATTTTTTTCACAACTACGTAACAACGAAAGTCAGACGAAGTAGTGGTAATTAATGCACAATAAAGTGGTGAAATATATCACGGCTCAAAGTTGCGGGAAGTATAGGATGTCCCTATTTACCAAGCTCAATTTAAAATGAACCGTACAAATCGGCGCCGGCACGTAGCAATCTAAACTTTTCGTCAAAGGTGTATTTCACAGGTCGTTTTTTTTCCTGTAAAATTACAAAGCGTAGCTTTCCTTCTGTAAACAGTAGAGCCAAGAAACTTGCCAGGGTCAATGGCGGACGGCGACGCAGACGACCAAGTCGAGTGGCGCTCGTATTAATAGATGGCCCTGCTTCCTTCTCGAGACGGCTTGCAACCACCGTGGCTTATAAAAATGAGCATGATATTTTTTGTAACGTTCCTTTGGTTAAAAAACAAATGCGGACAATAAAAGCCAAACTTAAAGTAAAAAAAAAAATCACGTCTGCATAACGACGGCGTTTTTGCTGCCAACGGATTTCGTCTGAGTGAGGCTGCTTTTTTCCGCTGGTCGGCTGCACCTTCCGACGCTGCTCCCGACGACATCTATCGATAGGAACGCCAAACACATCCCGCAACTCGACTCGGTCGTCTGCGTCGCCGTTTGCCGTTGACCTTGGCAAGTATCTTGGCCCTATTTTTTACAGAAAGGGAGCTACTCTTTCTAATTTTAGAAGAAAAAACCGACCTGTGCAATACACCTTTGGCAAAAAGCCTAGATTGCTCTGTGCAGGCGTCGATTTTTACGGTCCATTTTAGATCGAGCCTAGTGACTTGGGACACTCTATACATCTAAACTATATAGAGAAGGTATAAGTACCCATGTTCCTACTTCTCTAAAAAAATTATAAATATATTATTTTTTAAGAAAGATGCGTGTAATCATCTGTTCCTACCACTTTGGTTGTAATCTGTTTAGGGTAAGGCGGGGTAAAATAGGACGCGAGGCAAAATGCGACAGCTTGTGTTTCTCCATCTATCCCCTAGACCAGCAATCGGAGTACGTTCAAACTTCACCCAGAGGTGCCGTAACCTGTAAACGTTGCATGTGTAAAGCTTGACAGCTATCGGAATGAGAGTTCCATAGAAAATAAATGCAAAGTTGAGGTTGTCGTGTTTAGCCCCCGCCAAAAAGCGCACAATTCAGTGCGAGGTTTCGCATTGAGACGTGCAGCCTGGTTGGCACCCACTATTCTGCCAAGCTAAGCTTTAATTTTATTGGTACACTCTATTAGCTTCATCCGAACAAAATTTGAGCAATGTGTGGTAGCGTTTTTTAACGAAATAAATATTTACGTAAGAGGACACGCGCGGGGCAAAACGCGACAATCAGGCATTCGATAACGCGCATGACAGTAAGGCAGAAGTGTTCTGGTTCCTCCTGAGTCATATTCTTAATCTCTCGGTGCCTAGGATGGTCGGAACGTATAAAAGAAAAAAAAGTGAAAGCCGTTTACAACTACCTGTAACGCCGAATTAGAGCGTAGCTCTTGAGGAGGAGGGAAGGGTACTGAGGGGAGGGTATACCCCTCTCCTCCTCCTCCTCCTCCTCCCCTCATTCATCAATCTCCTCCGGGGGGGGGGGGGGCGTCACTTGACATCGGGGGGGAGGGAGGGGGAGTCACGTGACCTCGGGGAGGGGGGAGGGGGTCGCGTGACCTCGTGGGGGGGGGGGGGGGGTCACGTGAGCCTCCCTCCCCGAGGTCACCGAAGGTACCCGAGGTCCTCCCGAGGTCCTCCCGAGGTCACTTCGCATCTAAGAATATCATCATACTGTGATTTTAAAATATTTAATTCAAAATGAATACTATAATTAAAAATTAAATTGTCCAAATTTTCCCACCTTACCCTTAGCACAAAAAGTAAAAGTATACATTTTAACTAAATATTACATTTTTAGTGATGAGTTTGAACTTGTCTTAGGGAACAAAATTAAACATTGGTTTTAACCATTTTTTCTTTAAAGTGCAGATATTTAAATAATACATGTTATTTACTCCAGAGCCTGCCAAATATACAGGTGGCGCTGTGTGATTGGGCTTAAATTATAAAACTGTAGCTACAGTAAAGTGCTCACAATTAGTGCACCGCTGTTTTCAGGGAAAAGCGGTGTAGCGGCGATATACATGGCACAAGACTGGATTCCGACTGAGAAGCCTCCGAAGGTCATCGTCACCAGTGACAACCCTAGAAAAATATCTGAACCTGCCCAGTACAGCGCCCTGCATGCAAAAAAAAAGTTCGCATTGGTTTGTATGCAATTTTAATTTTGATATTAACTAGGCAACTGAAGTCCTTTTTGTCTATCATGATTAAAGTGGTTAGAAGAATGGTTGGAGCACGGAGGATTTGAGGACGTTTCGGTAACAAAATAAAAATATATTTTTTAAATCAGTTATTTTCAATGAGCAAGCGAGGGTGTCATTCGTTAAATATTGACAATCTTTTAGTGGTTTCTTTTAAAATAAGTATAAATGAGTTAATAAATATCCTTTTATAGAATACTGTGGTATCTGTGGTGAGTTGACGTAAACCTAAATCAAGTTCTTAGGGTTATATAATTCGCTCAAAATATTCACCATCTTTTTACGAATACATTTAATTCGTCTTTATAGTTTTACTAACATTCGCATTTGAGCAAATACAAACTTATTGAGTAAAATGTGCCCAATTGCCAGATAAGGACTAGATAAGCAAACTTATTTATGTGTGATTCAGCCGAACTTTGAAGGCACCCTACCCTGTATTGCTTATTATTCCTGAATAAGAATATTGTGATACTACACTTCGTCTCAGCTTAAGTCGAGACGCAGCCGACGCTACAAGTTAATGGGACAAATCAAGCACCGTCAAAAAGTGCCAGTCACTAGGTCTCTGTTTACAATGGGAATCGCTGCTCCCGCCACGCTGATTTTCGAAGAAATGCGTTAGCATTTCGCGCAGGGGTTATATATAACAAATCATGGTGAATTCAGCCTCTCAGTACTTTTCCGCGGGGGGTGAACATACCCGAAGAATCCCCTTCTCCCTGGTGCAAGCAGATCATGTTTGCGCGAAGGACGGCGGACGCACAGGATTCACTGAAAGCAACGGCGTGACGTAACACCTAGCAACCGAGGTGGAGGCGGGATAGCGGGGTACTTGGGCCGCCGGCAAAATAAAATATTAACCAAAGATGGGTTAATATTTCGTAATGAGCCATACACAGACTCGCCGCGAAGCGGCATGAACGGGGTGGCTTAGGTGCGTTAACACGCGCCCCGTGTGGTACACCCGCTGTCCACCACTGGGCAACGACGAAATATGCGAAGGGGCGCGTCGCCAGCGATCTTCGGTTGTTAGGTGTTGCGTCACGGCACCGCTCGCTATAATTAGCGAATCCAGTGCAGTCTCCGTTGCTATGCGTTCTATCGCCAAGCCTCTCGAAATATGTGCCCCTGCGGCCATCTGTCGGCGCTTGCAGAAGGTGTTTCCCAGCAAGCTTCCACAGCCCCCGGGACTGTAACTGCATGCCGCGTCGACGTTGCGAACTTTATATACGTGTGCTCCAAGCCAGTCTACGGTCAGCGTATGTACCAGGACACGAATGCTAACGCATTAAAAAAAAATGACGGACACCATGATGGGGCGGTTTTGACGCTGTCTGGTTGTTTCATCAGCTCGGCGTCGGCTCCGCCTGGACTTAAGGTAAACGAAGCACAGCGATGGTCGGTCGGAAACAAAAATTACTACAATGGGATACTGATGTCTTGCCTCGCCACAAGTTTAATTCTCTTTGTAAGCGCTTTTTGTTCTTTCAAGCAACTATTCGGGGCGTTTTTGGTCAACAAATACCTCACTTTTCACAAAATAAACCTTACCCTATTCGTTGGGAGGTGAAACCTTGTTTAATGGAGGCACTCTGACATAAACACTTCTATTACGCGCGCTTTTTGCCATTCCCGTTTAATTTTGTATATAAAATTATGGTATCTACATATTGTGCCACGGAAGTTTCTATCAAGTTTTTATGCACACACTATCGTTTATAATGGTTTAATTTTAGTTCAAGAGTCAGGATGCCGCCCTAGAAAAAAGGAAAGAAAGAAACGACGCCGGAGCCGTTTTGTTGAAACGCAAGTTGCGGCCCCTTCCCATGAATTGGTTCGAAATACACAAAAACGCAGCAGCTAACCCAAAAAGTAAAAAGATAGTGCTTTGGCTAAGCTTTATTTTGTGATTGCAAAGTGGACATTATTGAACACATTTTGTCTTAAATTGCCGTCAGAATAACCTGGTGCATACCTTACCCCACTGCGGCGCAGTACACCAATGCACCACCCTGTCCGAGCAGATATATTTTTGTTGCGGGTAGGCACTTCATCTGAAAACAGGTACGGTACTGGTGGGTAAACAAGGCATTTCGACTGGAGTTGCCACCTATAAATGTTGGCCAATGCCGGTGACACCAAAAGGACGAGGCGGGTGATGGAGCATTGGGGGGGGGGGGGGGGAGTATAGGGTATGTAGCAACTGGCAGTTTGACAAAAACTTAAGGTGTGACGAGTCCGGACCATCTGATTGTCGCTGCTCGGACTATGAGATTGCTCCATTATCCGTCGAGAAAGTACAAAACGAATTCCAGAGAAACACGCGTGACCGCAATAAGCAAGGTCCGACGTTTCTTAAGCTGGCAATGGCTATCGCGTTCTGCAGCTAGCTCAGCTCACGTGAAGCGTGGAAGCTTCGTTGTAGAACCGGGAGAATTGCCGGTTCAACACCAAAGTAATTTTGAGACAACAGTAAGTGAGCTGCGAACTGGGGATAATCAATCGTAATGAAACGTTTTCTTGCTGTTGTATTTTTTGGACTTAAAAAGTTCCTTCATTTTTCCGCACCACACAATCCCAGATGTTAAGTTACCGTAAATCGT